CAGTTCGATAGAGATATCAATATTCCTTTTCAGGCTTGTCTGCTCGAAAGCTGGAATTCGTTGGGTCCCGTCTCAAATCAATTTTTTGGAGATTCTTCAACATTTTGGATCTTTCGATGTTGACGTCAAGCAAACGATGTACGATCTTATTGAGGTAAGATTCAACATCTTATCTTGAACTGATTTATTTCTCTCAGAAAATTTCCGGACATGGCTCTTCTGTTATCCTTTTAGATGATGTGTCACTCTTGGAGCAGCTTGGAACAAAACCTGTGTGAAGTTGTATTTTTGTTCATAAGATCTATTCTCATCTGAGAAAGGCAAAAGCAAAGTCATCTGTTTTGTTCGTTACGTTCACAATTTGTTCTACCGCTTCAACCTTTGTTCGTAAGCGACCTCCTCACTCTGCTCGCCTCCAAAACTTCAAATTGATGTATCTCGGCTCCCAGAGCAGCTAGAAACTTGGTTTTTTTACAGAAATGTATGACAAATGTTATTATTTTATTTTGATCTAAAAATAAAAAGTTTTCAAAAAAAATTTTTTTTTGAAAATTTTGAAAAATTCTCCAAAATGTTGAATTTTCTGAAAGAACATATTTTGTTTGGTATTCATAAAAAATATGAGAAAAAATTTCTAATTTTTTATTTGAAAAAATCTAGAAATTTTTTCAAAAAAAATTGTTTTTCGAATTTTCAAATATTATCTAAATTCTTACATTTTCTGAAAATGCGTATTTTATTTGGTGTCGTCACGAAATTTCAGTTTCTTATCGTTATTTTTAGCTGAGGTACTGTCATTTGAAGCGGCGAGAGAGCGGAGGGCGCAGACAGCTGGTGTGTCTGACTGTCTGCACTCTCTCGCCGCCAAAACTTCAAATGGATGTATCTCGGCTCCCAGGGCAGCTAGAAACTTGATTTTTTTACAGAAATGTATGAAAAAGTTTCTAATTTCTTGTTCAAAAAAATATCTAAAAATTCAATCTATTTTTTTCTAGAAAAATCCTTAAATTATGAAAATTCAATAGAAAACGTTCAAAGAGATGAGTCTCAAAAATAGAACCGGAACCTTCTCTGGAACTATCAATTTCAAAAATCTTTGGAAAAATATTTCTTTTTGAAAAATCTTCAAATTCAAACGGAGAAAATAAAGAGACCAAGAACAAAAAAACCGGAATCTCTTTTAAAGATTCAAGGGAAAAAACGTTGGAAGCGAAATCTCATGATTCGAAATTGCAAAGGTGTAGTTCTCTCCGTTTTGATCCCGATCTCCGAGGAAACAGGGGGATGGATCGAACTAAAGACGGTCGCTAGAATAGGAAAACTGGAGGTTTGGGAGATTCTGAAATTCTAGAAGTTTCGAAAAAAAAGCATTCCTGAAAATATGAATTTTCCTTTACATTTCTGTGAAAAAACCAAGCTTCTAGCTGCTCTGGAAGCCGAGATACGTTAAATTGAAGTTTTGGAGGCGGGAGAGTGAGGAGGGCGCAGACAGTTAGA